GGGGAGGTGCCCGAGCGGAAGGTGACGCTCCTGCGGCCACAGCTCAACCCCGACTCCCGGGCCAGCCAGGGAGAGGCCAGCGCCTCCAGGACGGGCTGCAGCCCCCGAGCCCTGGATGCCACTCCGGGTGCTGTGTTTCCATTATTTTTGTTCCTAAGCAGAATTCATCTTTTTTATTTTCTTTTTGGACCAATTAAGCTTCTTCGTTGCAAGGAATCTCATTAAAATTAATGGCCTCCTCCTCCTGGCGTTTAATCTTGTTTTCTTTATTAGAAAGTGTGCGTGGTGAACGCCTCCAGGAGGGCTGGCGGGGATTTCTCCCACCGCGTGGGGTGGGGGTGGGGGGGTGTTCTAACGACTTTGAAGGAAAAGGCAATTTTCCCACATGTCACGTGTTGGAAAGGGCGACCGCATCTTACAGTAACGGGACAGTCCCAGCCGCAGAACGGAAGCCATGTCTGGCAACACGTGTCACGTGTCGTTGCTCAGCCGTGAGATGCGTGTCGCCCGGGTGGCCGGCGGGGACGGGCGGCGCTTCTCGTGGTCCTGGTCTCTGACACGGAAGGCAGCCGAGGGGGAGCCTGGAATTGCCACCGAGGTGCCCCAGTCCCAGGCGACAGCTACCGATGCTTTTCAGATGTTTTTCTTTTGGGGGCCGGGCAGGGGGTTAATCCTCACCCAGAGATATTTTCTCATTGATTTTTAGAGAGAGTGGAAGAGAGAAGGAAAGACAGAGAGAAACATCGATGTGAGAGAGACACATCGATTGGTTGCCTCCTGCACGTGCCCCGACCAGGGCCTGGGTGGGGGGTGGAGCCACAACCCGGGCATGGGGCATGTGCCAAAAATTACACCTATTTTTTTTTGTCAGATCGACAAAAAGCAAGCTTTTTGGTGTGACACCGGAGTTTAGTCCTTAGTTGACGTGCGAATGAGAGGGAAAAGGCGGAAAAGCAGTGTTCTAAACCCCCCGCGCTCTCGGCTTTATGGCCACGTGTTTAATATAAAACTACAATACTGAAATGGGGTTTTTATGCCAGAGGAATTTCAGCCTCTTTACAAAAGAAAAGGAAGAAAGCGGTGAAAGAAAGGATATGCTGAGAGAAAGGATATCCGTTTTCTAAAATCCCACGGAGACCGGAATCAGCCGAGGTTTAACTCTCCCTCCGTGGCCACCTCAGCGATCACCCTAATGCGTGTTTTCTTTCTCTTTCAAGTCCCTCTGAGTCTGATTAAACAACCCTTAGAGAGCACACAGCCTTCCCTTCCGGACGAGACGGCAGTGTAGGTGCACACAGGACCTGCCTCCCCCACAACCACATCAGAACACCGCTCAGCCACAGACCCACCACCGTGCGGAGCCCCTGAACCCTGGCTGAGCGGAGGCCTACCTCGAAGGATGAGAGGAAGGAGCCAGCCCTGGCTGGTTTGCTCAGCGGTTAGAAGGGTCGTGGGTTTGATTCCCAGACACGGGCACGTACCTGGGCTGCAGTTCCTCAGCCCCGGTTGGGGCGTGTGTGGGAGGCAATCAATCGATGTGTCTCACGTGGATGTTTCTCTCCCACTCTCTCTAGAAGTTAATGGGGGAATACCCTCAGGTGAGGATTACAAACAAAGAAGAAGAAGAAGCCACCTGGAGACTGGCAGGAGGGCGGAGAGGAGGAACGGGCTGGTCCCACACCCACGTGTAAAAATCGGGAGGGGTCTCTAGGCTGCGGAGGGGAGGTCCCCCCGAAGGACGAGGGTCCCAGCCCCACGCCAGTCCTCCCAGCCCAGACTGCTGGAATCCCCGGTGTTCATCTTAAAGGGCCGGCACATGGACTTACTCGGCCTCACTCCCTCTGAGCTCCAGCATTGGGACAGCAGCTCAAAAGGCACCAGGGACACACGGGGAGGAGCTGAATTATCTGGCATCAGGGTGAGGGCTGGGGCAGTTTTCTCTCAGACAGAAGTGTGGCAGCGCCGTGTTCCTCTGCTGAGCCTGCCCCACTCCCAGAGCTGACAGGTGGCACCATATCTGAGTTGCCATCAACCTGGCTCACACTGTTTGCCCACCCTAGTGATTCCCTGAGACCCTGTCCCAGCCACTTGCAGGCCCACCCAAGCTTATCCATACAAATGGCCTATCTTGGCTCATGCTTCAGATTTTCCTAAAATCTCTCAAATAACCAGCATCTGGCCTCCGTGTGCCCTGTGCCTCTGGCTAAGTGGCCCCAGGCCTGACACTAGCAGCAGCAGCCTTGGTTTGCACCTTGGTCTCACCTGGGCACCTCCAAGTCCAGCACAAGTAGCAGCCGTCTGCAGATCGCTCTGTAGCTCATGCCGGGTGTCCCTGGGTAGAACAGGTGGTGACTGAACTTGTTCTGTGCCTCCTAGGAAGCCCGAGAGCCACCAAACCCATTGGACAGCTTCAGGTCACATAGAGGCACCACCCAACCGCCTCCACCAGAGACACGCCTGAGGGGCAGACTCAGCAAACACCAGAGCCCTGCTAAGTCCTGCTCCGTGGGGTGGGCCTCCACAGTGGTCAAAGGTCAGTGGTCACAGCCAGTCCTTGCATCTGATTGGCCTTGGGGCAAATCCCTCCCATTGCCGAGCCAACAGTAATCGAGTCTCAGCTACAACAGGAGGGTGACACAGCCCACATGGGGAGCACACCTGGAATGCCCAGCTGGGGTGATCAGGGGGGCTATGCCACTGGGCCCGACAGGACACCTACTGCACAAGGCCACTCTACCAAGCCCGGGAGACACAGCAGCTCCACCTGGGAACAACACAGGTAGGTGCCAAGATGAGGAGACAAAGAAACATGTCCCAAATGAAAGAAGAAGAGAAAACTCCAGAAAAAAAGCTAAACAAAATGGAGACAAGCAATCTACCAGAGGCAGAGTTCAAAACACTGGTTATAAGGATGCTCAGTGAACTTAGAACATCAACAGCATAAAAAAGCATCAGTCCTAAAGGAAGCATGTACTAATGGAGAAGAAGAATTTACCAGGAACCAACAGTAGAGTACATGAAGCCAAGTGATTTGGAATAAATCTACCAGATACAGAGTTCAAAACACTGGTTATAAGGGTGCTCAGTGAACTTAGAACATCAACAGCATAAAAAAGGACCAGTTCTAAAGGAAGCATGTACTAATGGAGAAGAAGAAGAATTTACCAGGAACCAACAGTAGAGTAGATGAAGCCAAATGATTTGGAATAAAAGGAAGCAAAAAGCACCCAATTAGAACAGCAAAAAGATAAAGAATCCAAAGAAGTGAAGATAGTCGAAGGAGCCTCGGGGACAACTTCAAGCGTACCAATATTCACATTCCACCCAATCAGAACAGCAAAAAGATAAAAGAATCCAAAGAAGTGAAGATAGTCGAAGGAGTCTCGGAGACAACTTCAAGCATACCAATACTCACATTCTGGGGGTGCCAGAAGGAGAAGAGAGGGAGCAAGATGTTGAAAACCTAATGGAAGAAATAATGATGGAAAACTTCCCTAACTTGGTGAAGGAAATAGACATAAAAATCCAGGAATTTCAGAGAGACCTTAACAAGAGGAACCCAAAGAGGTCCATACCAAGACACATCATAATTAAAATGCCAAGGGCTAAAGACAAAGAGAGAATCTTAAAAGCAGCAAGAGAAAAGCAGTTAGTTACCTACAAGGGAGTACCCATACGACTGTCAGCTGATTTCTCAACAGAAACTTTGCAGGCCAGAAGGGAGTGGCAAGAAATATTCAAAGTGATGAAAAGCAAGAACCTACAACCAAGATTACTCTATCCAGCAAAGCTATCATTCAGAATTGAAGGTCAGATAAAGAGCTTCACAGATAAGAAAAAGCTAAAGGAGTTCATCACCACCAAACTAGTATCACATGAAATGCTGAAGGGTATCCTTTAAGAAGAAGAAGGGGAAAAAAACATTAAAAATATGAACAATAAAATGGCAATAAGTACATATTAACAATTGAATTTAAAAAACAAAATAAAGGAGCAAGCAGAACATTTTGATGGTTAGCAGATGGTAGGGAAGTTGGGGGGATGGATGAGAAAGGTGAAGGGATCAAGAAGTACAAATTGGTTGTTACAGAATAGTCATGGGAATATGAAGTATAGGACAGGGCATATAGTAATAATCCTATATAATAAAAGCATAATATGTAAATTTTCCCCTTGACCAGGAGTTTGACCAGAGGGCGGGGCCAGCCGGCCAACCGTCTGCAGCCCCTGTCCCCAGCTGACCCAGCCTGATCAGCCCCGATGCGGGTGGGCCGGCCGGACATGACCTGTGCACGAATTTGTGCACCAGGCCACTAGTATTCTAATAGTTATGTATGGTGGTAATAATCCTATATAATAAAAGCATAATATGCAAATTTTCCCCTTGACCGGGAGTTTGACCAGAGGGCAGGGCCAGCCGGCCAACCGCCCATGGCCCCTGTCTCCAGCTGACCCGGCCCAATCAGCCCCGATGGGGGTGGGCTGGCTGGACCCCACCTGTGCACGAATTCATGCACCGGGCCGCTAGTATTCTAATAGTTATGTACAGGTTCAGAGGGTACAAGATTTATCAGGATGATCACTTAGTAAGTTATGTCATGTCTAATCTCTGGGGTGCACACCTGAAACTAATATAATATTGTCTATCAACTGTAATGGAAAAATAAAAATGATTTTTGTAAAGAAAATAAAGAATGTGGCCATCTGTGCATTTCATGTTCCTCACAGAGACCTTTGAATCCGCAATGTGAGAACCACTGAGTGTTTCTCCAACTGCACAGGTGCCCCCTTTCCTAGGGACTGTCCTTTTGTGGGTGCCCCTCCGGCCAGGTCCCATCACCTTGTCCCCCGCCCTGAGGGGTCAGGCTCTGGAGGGACCTCCCCCCAGGCTCTCAGATTGCAGGCTCCCTCCCCGCTGCAACCCTGCCCGATCATCATAAAGAACGGGCAAGGAAGCAGAGGTAGTTAGGTACGACCAGGTCCCGCAGAACCACAACAAGTCGCCTCGTAAAGTTTTATTAGTCAGAAGCAAGAAAAAACACAGTGGCCGGTAGCACAGGATAAAGGGCTCCAGCCAGGAGCCGGGGCTGCTGGGTCTTGTCAGCACCCGGAGTCCACCTGGGCGTGGACAGGACGCCGCACAGAGCTCTTGGCTTCCTGCCTCGAGGGCCCTAGACTATACTGAACAAATGCCAAAGCCAAACACGCGGAGCGCAGGCTCGCTCTCGGGCCACGCGTGGGGACACTCAGCTGGCGACACGCATTGGGCACGGCACACAGCACCCCGACTGCGGGCGCGGCCTCACTGGGCCGGGCCGGAGGCGGAGGCGGGGATGAGCTTGGGCGTGGCCTGCTGGGGCGGCTGCACCTCGGGGATCATCTCCCCGTGCTGGTACACGCTGACCGTGACGTCGATCTTCTCGCCCCCGTACTTGTTCTTGACGTTGATGCTGTACTTGCCCGAGTCCTCGGAGGTCACGCCCTTGATGCTCATGCTGACGAACTTGGCCTGCTCCACCTTCACCGAGAAGTGCTCGTTGAGCTCGATGTCCTTGTCGTTCTTGAACCACACCACCTCGGGGTCGGGGTTTCCGAACACCGTGCATGTCAGGTTCAAGGTCTGCGGGAGGGGGTGCGGGCAGAAAGGGCAGAGATAGGAAGACGAAGGTCAGATTCCCTCCAAATGGTACTGACCCTCATCATGGTCCTTTACCCCATTCATGGAGTCAACATGCTCTTTACACGTGTGAGCGCCACACCATACCCCAGGGGTCCCCAAATGGCAGGAGGCAGACAAGGGCAGTTTCACGCAGTAGCTACTGAGAAAAACCCGTGGTAATTCCTTCCATTCATCCTCAGCTGTGACCCAGGGCCTAAGCCCGCGATGGGGGACCTTTGTCCTGCCAAGGGCCATCTGGACATTTATAACATCATTCGCGGCCAAACAAAATTACCCACTGACACATGAGCCTTCTGTGTTTGGTCAAACATTTCATTAACTCGCCCCTAAGGCCTCGACAGGGCCAGACCAAATGATTTCTAGAGCCTTCTATGGCCCGCGGGCCGGATGTTCCCCACCCTTGGCCTAAGCCGACTAAAGAATTTGAAAATAATCAGATAGATCCACGTTTCACAGATGTTTCAGCTTTTTTCTCAACTTCCTTTATAGTCAGACCCATGGACCCTTTGGCAAATCCAGAGAATGCATTGACTTATAGCAAGTCGGACGCAGCAACCATGTGGGCACTCAGCTAAACCCGCCGGAGCCCGGTAACGCCGAACCGCTCTGAGTTTCCCAGCGACGGCTCCGCCCTGAGCCCAGGCTGCTCGGCCTCACGCCCAGCTCTCTGCAGCGGCCCAGGAGAAGGGCCAACACCTGTGTGTTGGGCGAATAGAATCCTCTCCCTCTGTGTCCCGAGACCCTGAGCTAGAGCTGAGGCACCAGAGGGATGTGGGCTGGACGTCAGCAATTCTGCCAACAGGTGGCCCATTAAAACTCGGTAAACAGCGCCCAGTCCACGTTACAAGGGCCTTGGAGCCTGGAGAGGGTGTCACACTCAGAGGGCGGCTCCCACCTCTACACAGGCAGGTGCCTCCTGTGGGCGTGGGTGTGGCCTGCCCAACCTTGCCCCCCCCCGGCCCCCGCCCCAGCCCAGGACCAGGGTTCAGACCCCGGTGGACACCAGGCACAGGACCCGGGGTGGCTTGTCGGCTCAGATATTAGCACAAGGGTTACCAGAGGCAGCGGGCCAAGCAGGAGCTGACAGGCACCCGCTCCCAGCTCCGCGTGGCCCTTTGCGGTGCTGCATGCACGGCTGAGCCCGTGCGTCTGGGGTCCTGCCGTCCGTCCTTACCTTGCCTTCCATTATGGTCACCACGTCAGGTAAACCACCGATCACCTTGCCACGATCTGCAATGGAGGGGACTCGGCTGAGAAAACCATCAGCAGGGTGTCCTCCTCCCTCCCCCGGCCCCTGCTGAGCACCGGCTGTATACAGGTGTACACAGCCACTCCGTGGAGGACAGCACCTGAGGGGAGGCTGGGAGGGATGTGGGTGTGAGCGGGGCTTTGAGGGCGCAGGAGAGGCGCCTGGGGCTGAACTAGGAGAACAGGCCCGGCTATAACTCAGTCCGGCAGGGAGAGGGGTCTGTGGGTCTGGAGACCAGGGCGGTGCAAGGGTGTGTATATACAGGAACTATTTTTAATTTCTGTATAGTATGATGTTTGACATCTTCAAAACCTCCCTGTCCCAGCCCAGCCTGGAGCACACCTGGGACACCTGGGGCACCTGGGGGATCTAGGGGACCTGAGATCCACCCACCATCCATCCAGAGCCTGAGACCAGGGCCAGGTGCCAGGCAATCAGGGACCATGCCCACAGCCCCAAGCCCCCGACTGTTCAATCCAGCCGCCCCGAGTGTCCCTGCCTGCCTGCCTTTCCAGGGAAGCCCAGTAAGGGGGTGGCCTGTCAGCTCCCAGCTCCTGCCTTCTGCCTCCTGCCCCCCAGCCCTGGTGCACCCCAACACACAGGCCTGTCTCTAGAGCCTGCACGTGTCATGAACTTGTTTCCTGAGCCTCTCCAGTCTCTCCTCCTGCAGCCCCTGCTGCCTGACCATCTCCTACAACAACACAGAACTGGTGGGTGATGGCAGGAGGACAAGTGGCCAGTGGTGCTGGAGGCCTCAGGAGGGCAGGTGTGAGCAGGCAGGTGTGAGGGGGCAGGTGTGAGGAGGGCAGGTGTGAGCGGGGCAGGTGTGAGGGGGGCAGGTGTGAGGAGAGTAGGTTTGAGGAGGGCAGGTGTGAAGAGAGCAGGTGTGAAGGGGCAGGTGTGAAGGGGCAGGTGTGAGGAGAGCAGGTGTGAGGAGGGCAGGTGTGAGGAGGGCAGGTGTGAGCAGGGCAGGTGTGAGGGGACAGCTGTGAGGGGACAGGTGTGAGGGGGCAGGTGTGAAGGGACAGGTGTGAGGAGGGCGGGTGGGGAGCGGCATGGAGGTGCCCGATGGGAGCGAGCAGCTCTGCTCTTTATTGTTCGATACACAGGATGACACTCTAAAGCGCGGCCTCTGCCCGCCCACAGCTGAGGCCCTTGTTCCCATCGCCTGGTACTTACTCTTCTCTGCAAAGGCAGCCGCCCTGGATGTCAAGGGGGGAAGGGAGAGAGCAGAAGAGAGTCGTGAGAAAATGTACCCACACACATCCCGCAGGGGAGGGGCCGGCTGGGGTGAGGGGGGTGGGGGACGCCTGCTGCAGGGGAGGGGCTGACTGGGGTGAAGGTGTGGGAAGCCGGCTTTCTCTCAGAGGACACGCCTTTCCCCGATGCCCACCGCCCTTTTGAGAGGGGCCACCCTGCTTTCAGCTGCTGACACGCAGAGTTCACATTCAGACTCAGAGTCGCAGACATTTCTTTTCTCCCTGAGTTCCCCAGGTCGCACTGGACAGTGTCAGATCTTTTGGGAAATGCCGGTTTCTAATTTATTTGGTCACCCAGTCATCCATTCACAGATATGCACTGAATGACCTGGTGCTGGCCAGTGGCTGCTCTGTGTGGGATGCCCTAAAATTCATCCACATTTAGAACTCTGGAGTTACTGCCCAGCTGGCGTGGCTCCATGGTTGAGCGTCGACCTATGAACCAGGAGGTCACGGTTCGATTCCCGGTCAGAGCACATGCCCGGGTTGTGGGCTCCATCCCCAGTGGGGGGCGTGCAGGAGGCAGCCGATCCATGATTCTCTCTCATCACTGATGTTTCTATCTCTCTTTCCCTCTCCCTTCCTTTCTGAAATCAGTAAAAATATATTTTTTTAAAAAAGGAATTCATCACTTTACTCATTGAAACCCACCCAGGGTTCCCAGGACCCTCAGCAGTAACTGACAGACACATTCACAGGGTGGAAGAGGGTCTGCCGTCTGCACAGAGAGCGGCTTCAACTGCCATTCGCACCCCAGTTCCCTGGGAGGGACAGGCCTCGGGTCCCCTGGGCGCCCAGCGAGGTCCCTCGGCCAAAATAACCGCGAGGCCCCGGAGCCCTGGACGGCGAGTCTGAACCCGCGAGCGAGTCTTACTTGAGCTGCTGGAACTCTGCCAGCGCGTCGTCGAAGGCTGCAAGGAAACAGGTCAG